TTTATGACTACATAGAAGTGCTACAGCCGTGCTCATCGTCGGCGACGACGACGACGGACCTACAGCGGGCGGCGACGATGCGCCGGAGAGGCGGGACGCAGCGCCGAAGAAGCGCCTCACCTGCGATGCCGACGCTGTCACTTGACACGTGGTAGTCCGCCCTAGGGGTCTGCTACCAGACTTCTACCCGGACCGCGGCCGGAAGCGGCAAGAGCACGGCGGTCGACGGGGCAGACAGCGAGGACGGGAGTCGGGCAGAGAAGAGGACGAGCCTTATTATACTAGCGTAGACGCTGACGTGTCCTGTATGTACACCGGTGCTCGAGCGTTGAAGTCAGAGGGGACGAGGTGGGGTACCCAGGGGGGGCGTTCAGGTGGGGTGGCAAAATAAGGTTTTCAAGACCCCTTGGTCTCGCGTCTTAGGGTGCAGTCCCAAGTCTAAGGGCTCTCGCTTTTGGTGTCACTCGGGTGGAATGGGAGGGCTCCGGCAATGGAGCTGCACCATCCCCGTCAAAGACAGTTTGTGAACTGCTACCTGACTCATGGCTTCGTCTTCGCTTGGTCCTATCTTCCCTGATGGATCTCACGGGACCACCATCTTCCTCTGGTACAGGACGTTTCTTTCCAATATCTGGCACAACTTCGGCGGGCGTCTGAGGTAACCTGTACTTGGCATGTCTGAAATATGTAGTACGGGACACTTCCAGCCTCCGCTTGCAGTAGGTCGGACAATCGCAATAATATGGTGGCGGCGTCATGGCGGCCTCGTCGGACGAGATGGTAGTCCGAGTCGTATGCAGCGCACCGACGTGGTAATGTCCGATGAGACACGCCTACAGCTGGCGCCACTCTCGCGTCGCGTATCTTGCACGTGATGAGAGATGACTTCCAAATATACTTCCGCGCTCTCTGATGATAGGACAGCGGGGCTCAAGCTCACATTTCAGAAACCAAGTGCTTGTGCGAGAATATATACAAATTAGCTGTACAATACTGTCCAAGCCACGCAGGGAAGATGCAGGAATCATAACGGGAAAGTCAAGCTCGACTGGTAGCGGTCGCTCGTTTCCTCAAGGTCAGAATGGAAGCACCTCCATCGGCAGTGACCCTCTTCCTAGTCTTCATCAGGATATATCGGCGGCCAAACTGGTCTAGAGACCTCGGCGGAACCATATCATCCCCGTTGGCTTTCCCTCTAGTGAACGTACCGAGGCCAGATGGCGCCAGAACAATGGCCTCTCCAGTCTATGTAGTAGCAAAACTTATCAGGAAAGCGCAGAGGGACAAGGGAGGAGGTAAGCATACCCTCAACCGCACTATCTTGTCAAAGACATCCCCGCCTGCAAAGTCTGCTGAGACGTGCTTGATAATATGATCCCACCAAGTCGGGGATGAGAAACGGTGTAGTATGGTGACGGTACATAGATCAAGAAGCACCGCAGGGACAACTGTAGGCTCTGTGGCAGGATAACATTTAGCCTTGAGTACAGTAGACGCCGGAGGTGACATCTTACCTTGCGTGCTAATGATGACCCGCATCGCGAGGTGACGCTGCTCACGGATCAATGTCGACAGGGCATTCGTCAATCCGGAAGAACCACCATTGAAGGAGAGATACTGGGAAATCGTCGCAATCAGCAAAACGTCGCAAGTGCACCGCATCTACCTTATGTGCTTCATCGACAACTAGAACCTTGCCGGTCCCGACGTCTGCACGCAGGAAGAGCCTCGTCACAATCTCGAATATGCCGCAGGCAGAGGCAGGGTCGATGAAGGGACTAGAAAGATCAATGATGGTAAGTTGACCTCTAGCGAACAGAGGTCCTCGTGTTTTCACATCCTTCTTGGAGACCGTGAATGTGTTCATGAGCGCCATGCGCTGTTCTAGACCCCCTCGTTGCGCAGGGTTCCAGGTGCGCTTCTGCTCCTCCAATTTCGCCGTGAAGCTAGCCGGCGTAAAGTTCTCTCCCAGGTCCCGCAATATTGACTAACAAAAACGCAGAGTTACGCGACGGAAGGAGAACCAAATATCAAGGAGGAGGGAACGTACCAGGATCACCTGTACATACAGCGGCGCAGAGTCACTTGATTCGACGGCCATCATAGAGAGGAACGCCTCAGCATCAAGCTCAGACTGCTTGAACAGCAACGGCTGGACAGAGACGTTGCTCCCCAGCGGCCGATAGATCGCCTGCATAGTATTCAGCGATGACTTTGCCACAAAAACGCGCACCGGCGGGGGTTTGACACCAGGTGCGTCCGAGACACCGAGCCACGCCGCCTCGCACGGCCTGGAATTCATACCCCCGTCGCCGAAATGCAGCACCAGTCCTGAGAGCTCCTTCTCGAGAGAGCCGATTTGTGGGTAACCGGCGATGAACATGTTCTCGAGCATCACTGAGACAGTGTGCGACTTTCCGGAGCCTTGGACGCCGCAGACGACGGTGGAAAAGGGCGCGTTCTGGGGATGTTTGAGAAGATATCAGGAGAGCTGGGACGACCTACCGTGTTGAAGTATAGCCTGGGATCTTCAGGCCTTTCAGTCGAGCCGGGAGACCTAAAGAAAGGTATTTAAAGGGGCATTCCGCCGCATGGGGTCTTGAAGAGCCACTTACGATATAGACTGGATGCCACCAAGCACGCCGTACTGGGTGTTGGCGTGATCGAATTCCGCCTGGACGTAAGCGTCCCTGGTCATGATGGGAGCCGTAGCCAGCTCGTGATCATGTTCTTCAAGAGAAATATGGGTGAAGGCTTCATCAAGTAATTCCAGCTCCTGCTGTTTAATTCGGTGAATAGGTGTTAACGGCCGAGGTGGCCGAGCACCTACATTGCTATCTATCGTGCTCCCCTTCAAGCCATGGCCATTAACACCCCGGCCGTTGACGCCGTTGGTGAGATATGTCTATTGCACATTGGATGTAAGTATGGTCTCGGTCGTGATGCGTATCATCCATGCCGAAATCAATTCATCAGTCGGTAAGGACGCACTTACATTGAGGTCGAAAGCACCGGGCATAATGGTGGATGATAATTGTAGTGTTCGTTGTGATAGCAGCGTTGGGAGAACAAACAGCGTTTGTCAAAGTCCTCCTCCCCTTCGTGTATATATACCCCACCGCGCATTGTCTTTGTGTTCTGGCTGGGATCCGATGCAGCGCAGCGAGGGCACGAGGTGGCGGACCGTCACCTTGCAAACGACGCCATACCCTCCTACATGTGCATTGCCTTGCTATGCGGGACAATGTACCAGGAATAGCTGCAGCCTGCAGGACGCGTTGGCCCGGGTGGCGCAGCGACGAGCGTACAGATGTCCGATCATTTTGGCACAGCCACGAATATCGCAGCTCAGCTCTGCGAGCCTTTTTCGCAAAACTCCGAAGTCCTTTGGTTCGTCTGCTCAATCTGCTATCTGAATACTCGTGCTCTGGAATATGTCTTTGTTTGAGGTCCCAGGATGGAGTGTCCCCGCCGCCCCAGTATCTACCGCGAAGTCCAACCGGAAGCGCAAACGGCCTGGGTCGCAAGCCCCGACGGACAAATTGGAAGCGGCTGCGAGCAACGTCGAGGAGCTCATGAGAAAATTAGACGAGGGTGGTGAGGGTGCGAAAGACAGGAAGGGGAAGAAACGCAAGACGAGCGGTGCAGGCGTGAAGAAGCAGAGGGCGCCGTCTGAGGGGGGCGTGCACGAGGAGTCTGCGGCTGCGCTTAAGAAGAAGGATAAGAAGGATGAGAAAAGGTCGAGCCAGAGTGCTCCAGATACGAGCGATACCCGCGTGTCTCGCAGCCCTGAACGCAAGCATGAACCCCCCAAACGCAAGGACAAGGGCCCGAGTCAAGCCGCGGTGACCAAAGATTCCAATCCAGCCGCGGGTTCCACCCCCTCGAAGTCGAAAACATCACGCACGGCACCTGGTCTGACTGACCTCCAGGCCAAGATGAAACAAAGCCTCGACGGCGCGCGATTCAGGCAAGTCCCTCGCCCGCGTTCCTGATCCTTCCCCACGTCCACTGAAACGTGCCGGCCCCGCAGGCTGATCAACGAGACGCTGTACAAGTCGGACAGCGGACACGCGTATCAGATGATGCGCGAGGATCCAGAGGTGTTCGAAGAGGTCCGTGTGTGCGTCCGTCTGTAAATATGGATCGTATCGCTCATCTGCGGTCTAGTATCACAAGGGCTTCCGCCACCAAGTGCAGTCGTGGCCGGCGAATCCCGTCTCGCACTACATCCAATCTCTGTCTGCGTATCCGCCGAAAACCGTCATCGCGGACCTCGGCTGCGGGGACGCGGCGCTCGCGAAGGCGCTCGTCCCGAAGGGGCTGACGGTGTTGTCGTTCGATCTGGTGTCGGACGGCAAGTACGTAGTCGAGGCGGACATTTGCGCAACGGTGCCTTTGCCGGGGTCGGAGGCGGCAGAGGGAGAGGGACAGGTCGTGGACGTGGTGGTGTGTGCGCTCAGTTTGATGGGCACGAATTGGCCGGGGTGTATCCGGGAAGCGTGGAGAGTGCTCAAGGCGGAGTGAGTGTCTATCTTCGTCGTGTTGTTATTATTTCTGACGCTTCGAATATCTCCTAGCGGTGAACTGAAGATCGCAGAAGTGGCGAGTCGCTTCACGGACGTGGAGGCTTTTGTGTCTCTCATTTCATCCGTTGGGTTCAAGCTCAAGTCCAAGGTATGAGGTGTCGGTATCTTTTCTTGTTTCCGTACTGACTGGCCTACAGGACGACCGGAATACGCATTTCACTCTGTTCGAATTTCGCAAGATTGCGAGGAAAAGCGCGATGTCGGAGAAGGAGTGGAGTAAGATCATGTCTCGAGGTAGCCTCCTCAAGCCTTGCGAATATAAACGCCGTTGATAGTGAATGTCCTGTGACCGTTGTTTTGCTTGCTTGAGACAGCACGTTGTGACCGGCTGAGAATTCACCCTGTAAAGGTCAGCCTTCAGCGAGATTGATTCGATTTAATACCGCCGCCAATGCGTCTAGGAATCCTCCAGTACCTGTAGTTGGAGGACTTTGCTGTGGCAACAGACGCAGATCGAGGAGGGCGGGATCGCGATTCGGAGCCCGATTGGATCTGAGGTGGGGATCAATGATGGCACGTGGAATGGCGTCAGACGGATAAAGCAGGAGGATTGGAATGTTCAACTTTCGAAGCTCCGTCGACTTCAACTTTGTATTCATACTTGAACGCAACGCCCACGTCGCCCGCAAGACTGACGACCACGACGACCGACGACACGCGACGAAACACTCTGTAAAGCAAGCACTTGTCCGCCATGGCAAGATCAATAGGGAGCGCGGGCCTCCTGCTCCTCTGCGTCCTGCTGCAACTCACCACTGACGTCCTCGCGCAATTGTCTCTACCGAATCCCGCCTTTCTTCCTCCAAATGCGTCCTGGGGCGCTGTACCGTCGTCCGGGGGATCACCCAATCCCCAGTGGACCGTCCTGCTCGGTGACGCCCTGTACTTTTACGAGGCGCAGCGGAGCGGGCGATTGCCGAGCAACAAGCGTGTTCCTTGGAGGAACGACAGTGCCCTGAACGATGGCAGGGATGCCGGGCTGGACCTCAGTGGAGGATACTACGATGCTGGCAGTGAGTCCCTGTCCCGACATTCCCCGGATGCGGTGGCTAATGCCACTCCAGACTACCTCAAGTGTACTTTCCCCTTGGTGAGTGCAAGCTTTGTCCATGCGCGCATCTAATCCTAACCGCGTCGCAGTCATTTACTCTAATGTCTGCGTGCTGGGGGGCCCTCGACTTTGGGAAAGGTGCGCCCTGCATTCGCTTCCCCGCGCACGGCGGCTGAGGTTCCCCGCACAGGCTACGACGTGACAAGCCAGACGGCGTACCTGGACGACATGCTCAGGTGGGGCCTCGACTGGCTCATAAAGGCAAGCGCCGCGCCGCCCCCACAGCCACTGCTCTGACGCCGATCGCGCTATTCCAGGCGCACCCTTCTAACAGCACTCTCTTCGTGCAAGTTGCAGATCGTATGTCGCGCTATTTTGGGTGTTGCCAGACTCTGACCCGGTGTTAGCTGACTATGACGACGCGTATTGGGGCGGAGACCAGAATATCCCGTCTGGCCGGCCGTCGTATCAAGTAAACGACACAAAGCAAGCATTGCCTCTCTTGAATTCCTATTGACTGCTGATTATTTCCCAGCCCCGGGACAGATGTCGCCGCCGCTGCGTCGGCTGCCTTTGCCGCGTGCTCGATCCTCTACTCCAACTCGTCCTCGTACAACTCCACCAACTCCTCCATCCCCTTCTCCCGCGCCTCCCTCCAGAACGGCACCTACTCCCAGACCCTCCTCTCCCACGCCCGCGCCCTCTGGGACTTCGCCTCCGAGCACAACTCCACGCTCTACCAGGACTCGGTCCCCGCCGTCAAGGACACCTACCCGTCCTCCGACTACAGAGATGACTACACGTTCGCCGCGCTCTGGATGAGCTGGGCGACGGGCGACGCGGTGCTCTACAACCAGACGCTGGACATGTACAACAACTTCCAGCTCGGCAACCCGGATAACGGCCTGGACGGCGCGTTCAATTGGGACGGGAAGGTCCCCGGGATTCCGGTGCTGGCGACGCAGATCGGGACGATGATGCAGGAGCAGTGGCAGGGGTATTACGATCTCGGGGCTTGGCAGAGCCAGGCGGAGACGTATCTGGATGGTGTTGTGAACGGAGAGGGACGAGCGAAGACTACGGGTGGTACGCACCGCACTTTCCCCTACGTTCATCTGGTTGTGTCTGATCCGCCTTTAGGTGGACTGCTATATTACGACGGCGACTCTGACGAAGCGAGCCTCAACCCGGCCCTGAATGCTGCTATGCTCATGACGAGATACGCCCCGATGGCTTCGTCGCAGCAAAAGAAGTGGGCGTACCAGGTACGCGTGATCCTAATCATTCGAGACCGTATCCTTACCGCTCTTGCAGACCTACGCAAACAGCCAGCTCGACTACGCGCTCGGCAACAACCCAATGAAAGGTACGCCTTCACCTCCTGCCATCTAAACAAGCTGACCGCTCCCACGTTAGCACCCTACGTCGTCGGCGTCAACCCCAACTCCCCGCAGAACCCGCACTCGGCGCTCGCCAGCGGCGGCAACGACATCTCGCACATCGACACCGTCCCCGAGCAAGAAGCCTACGTGCTCTACGGCGCCGTCGTCGGCGGGCCCGACAAGCACGACAAGTTCTGGGACATCCGGAGCGACTGGCCGGAGACGGAGGTGAGGATGGGTACATAGTCGCGTCCGCGCCGGCTGATCGTTTGCTCTCATAGGTCGCGCTGGACTACAACGCGCCGCTGCTCGCCCTCGCCGCCGCGCACGCCATGAACGACACGAGCGACCCGTACTACACAAATCTGCAGGCCGGCGCGTACTCCAAGCCAAAGTACCACCCTTGCGACGCTGCGTTCGATTGCGGGTCGAAATTGTCCACGGGAGCCAAGATCGCCATGGGCGTGTGCCTCAGTGTCGCCGGCCTGATTGTCTTTGGCCTGACGGCGTACTGGCTCTATCTCAACTTCGGGAACAAGTTCCCCTCATACGACGGGGTGAACCGCGCATAGTGACCGTGGTTGGTTTATCTTGTTTCCCGCTCTGGACGGTTTAGTGTGGCTTTTGGGACATTTTCGGGTCGCGCTTTCACGACGTAATGCTAATGTGTAATTTTGTATTCCTGGGACCCTATCTTCTACGTTATGCGATAACTATGCAAGATGAATAACGTAAAAAATGCGTGCATAAGTATATATCGTGACGGTCGTGATACGACAGGAGGTTAGTAAACCTGAAGGGGGGCGTCAGCTAAAAGTTACATGGCCATGAAATAATGCAACATACCTCGAGAACATAACGCTCCTCTTCCTTTAATCCTTCCAAAAAGTCACCGGCGCTCTTGGCGTCCATGCCATTATACTTGACGAGGGCGTCCACGAGCGCATTGTACACGTCCGGTACGGGCCACGTCGGCCCGCACAGGTAAAAGACACCGTTCTCCTCGCGCAGCATCCGCGCCAGCGCCTCCGCATCCTCCAGCATCTTGTGCTGGATGTAGACCTTCTGGGGCCCGTCGCGGGAGAACGCCAGCCCCGCCTTGGTGATCGTCTTGTCCAGGATGAACGCTTCGATCTCCTCGCCGTACAGGTATTCTTGCGACTGGTGACGCGACCCGAAGTAGTAGTAGATGGGCCCGATGGGGATGCCTTGCGATGCAACCCAAGCACGGTATTGTAGGAATGCGCGGAAGGGGGCTGCGCCAGTGCCCAGGCCAGCCATAATCAGCGGCTGCATGTTGTCCGGCGGGAGCTATGAAACACAGGGTAAGCTGGGGTAAAATAGCGGAGAAGAGGACGTCATTTACCTTCATAACGCTCGGCTTGATGGAGACAGTGACTTTCTGGCCCGGCTTCAAACCAGCCAGGTAGCGAGTACACTGGCCATATCGAGGGGAACCTGCGAAGGGACAGAGTCAGTATGGGCTTGCTGCAGCTTTGCAAAGACTGCTTACCACTGGGCGTAACCCATTCTACACTGACGACCAGTAGGTCCACCCGATCGCCAACCACAGCTTGCGAACTAGCAATACTATAGTGCCTGGGCTTGATATCGCCAATCAACTCGCACAAGACCTCTATACCAGGCCTAGCGCTGGGGTACATCCTCAGCACATCAGCAAAGTGAATAGTATCCTTCTCAGCGAGCTTCTTGAACGTCGAAGAGCCCTCCGCAGAGCCTATGAATTGAAGCGACATCTTCTCCGTCTGCTTAGTCGCATACTCCGCGAGATCGGTGTAGAACGACTTGGGCGGCTTCCCGAAGAGATCGATTTGCTGCTGCAGAGCTTGGAAGACCGTGCGAGTGTGCATCTTGCCATCCGCGTTCGGCACGGGAATGGTGATGAGCCGGTTGGGATCGACGCCGTACCATCTGCAAAAGTCCATCACTTCCTCGTCGTCATTCCAGCCGTGTACACCAAGTGCCTCTCCGATAGCATAGGTTAGGCCCGTGCCCGACGTATCGAACTCCAGGTGGAACACATTTCTGTCGTATTCCTTGGGAGTGAGCCGCCTATTGACCGTGCAGGTGACCAGGTATGTCCGGTCGGGAATTTCAGGTCGAAGGGCAGGGTTCTGCGGGTAAGGATCTGACGAAGCTTCGAACTGGGGAGTGAAGGCGGACGGGAATATGATGTGCTTCGCGGCGTCATGCCACGACCCCAGCCCGGAGCCGTTTACGACCGTCTCGCCGTCATCTGTCTCCACGGCAATGGCGTTGAAACTGAAGGACCTGACCGCCGAACCTTTACTCGACTCTGCCGCAGGGTTATGAGACGAAAGATCGACTTCAACGAGCGAGTCCCAGGCACGTTCGCTGATAACAGACAACTCGATGCCTCGCACACTATCCCCCACAACAGCACGAGCGACCTTCCTAACAGCGTGCTCGTTCGCTGCCTTTCCGAGGTACAACCTCAGGAAAGCCAGGTACGAGATGACGCTCTCAACGTCATTCCTCGCTTGTTCATCCTCCTTGACGAGCTCCTCCGACAGCTCGCGTGCATTAATTGTGCAAAAGTGAAGCTCTCTGTCGGCGACAAGAGCAGCGACCTCCGGCGCGAGATTGGAAGCCAGTTCGGTCGGAGCCCATGAAGTGACGACAAGCACTTCAGAGCCTCGCTTCGCGTTCTTTAACGCATCGTGAGTCTTCAGCAACGTTTGATCCAGAATGGCAACAAAGTCCGCCTCACCCGTGCCCTCCGCATTGATCGGTAAGAGGATGGGCACCGGCAAATATGGTTGCTCGGTATCCTTGGAGGACAGGATAATCCTGTCGACTGTGATACCACCGGGCTTCGAGAAAGCATCATGATCTGTGAGCCTCCGCGCGGCGAGAGCACGACTGGTGAGGAAGGTATCCTCAATGGTTTGAGGGAGGGCCTGCAAAGGCGATCCTGGACTGCTGAAGAGCAACAGCTTCTTCACGCCTGAAGATTCCAGGATGGGTGCCTGCACATTCCCCGGTACCAAGGCTGACAGCACAGCTGCGAAGGATGACGGTCTAGACAGGAACTGCTCCAACTTAGTTGGAGTGACACGGTGGGAGTGTACAGATGGTCCAGGATTAGCCGGGTCCAAGAGTGAGGCAAAAACGTCGACGTATACACTTCCCTGACTGGTTTCCGTGGGCACATCGTCCAGAACGTGGACCTTCTTTACAGAGATCGGGATTACCTCCCGGAGTGCGTCCTCATTCCAGGGCCTGAGCACCCTGACCACGACGACCCCCAGACCAGAGATGCGGCTCGCGAGCGCTTTGGCCGCCAAAGCTAGGGGACCATTAAGCAGAACCACGACTGTATGCGCATCCTTGTCCCCGGCGTAGTCGAAGAAATCGTATCCGGCCTCTTTCAATGCGTCCTGGACACTACCGTCCACCTTTCCGTCCAAAGATACATTAGGTGCGGAAGCGCTGCCTACTTCTCTCGCAGAGCTGTGATGGTCGAATATATGGATGACGTGCGAGGACTGCAACTTGTACGAGATAGCAGCCAGGTCGACGGCCTCCTGCGGCGTCGCTGAGAGCAAGACCGTGAAGCTCTCGGGCAGAAGCCGGATGCACGGGGCGAAAGGCGCAAGTGTCGGAGAGAAGGTGAACGATTCACCGACCGGGGTTACGGCGGGCACTTGGATGACGAGCCGTCCGTTCGCAGTGGGCTTGGGCAGGTACGACAGGGCCTGCGCCATCGACGCCAGCCCGGAGGGGGTCGTGTATGCGGTGAGGGTCCCAGACCTCACTGAGTCCTTGCTGGATCCCAAGCCTTGGGACAGCCTCCCTACGAGACTCAGCCCCGCGCCAGACCGTGTCTGCAGACTCACGACGTTCGCGCTGCCTGTGCAGGCCCATGATTTTGTGAGCGCGCCAAAGCCGACCTGCTCCGCGAGATCATATATAAAGACGGTAGAGCTAGAGGTAGCGCGGGACGCGATGGACTCGATGATGTTAGACGCGGGGATGCTTGAGGTCTTCAGCTTCAGGACTTGATCCAACACGGCATTTTTGAGCGGGGAGGGAGACGCTCCCCGCAGCGTCGAGGTTGCCGATACTGGCGTAGACACACCTGAAGCAGACATGGGTGACCAGCCGCGAACCTAAGCTGGGAGAACCGGGGGAATGAGGGGGGGATGAAAGGGAGACGAAAGGAAAAACGGCGTTGATAATCGCGGGCTAAACATATCCAACCGGCTTTGCAGAGGAATGAGTGAGCTGTGGCAAACGATGGTGCAATCGCTGCACACTTTCGCGTCAGGGCCCTTGCCTTTTCCGGAAATTGTGGCGTGTCTGCCTCTTTTGGCGTCGACGTTTCGTACAGGGCCTGTCCTTCTGTCTTATGAAATTCACGCTGAGAAGCTCTACCCTGCGATGACAGAATCACGAATAACGTTGATTTGATTGTCAGTGCTGTACTTGAGGTGCTATGTTCAGACTTGGTTCCCCGGCTAGTGTCTCCTGGACCCGGAGCACTTTCTTCTAACGCTTAAGCATTAGATCTACTGTAATTGCTTTGTGGTCGATCCGATCTGAGCTACAATACGACGAGTCCGATTCGCTGAGGACCTCCCGAAGATCCTAAGCATCTCGCAGAGTATTGAACAAGCGATCTCCCTGCACCAAGGTTATTTAGCCGAGGCTCAGCAAAGGTAAAAAGAAGTTCAGGGAGCGAGAACGCACCGTATCACCCAAGCCAGGTGAGATAAGACCCTTGTCAGTCAAGATTGGGTCGACTGTAGCGACCCAAACCTCTAGACCTGGGAACTCCGCTTTCACGCGTTTCAGGCCGTCCTGGGATGCGAGGATGCATAGGAGCTTGATTCTTTGTACTGCCCAAAGCCGTGAGTTGATACTTCTGCTGAAGGATCAACAACTGGCTTACGGGGAATGCCCCAATCAAGAACCATATTCAGTGCAGCGCACGCAGTACCACCTGTAGCAATCAGGGGGTCTAAGACAAAGCACATGTCGATCGGTGGTGTTGACGGTAGCTTAGAATAGTCTAGGGTTATAATTAGCGATAAGAGACATCGAGCGGACAGGTATGGCGCACATACATTCGACGGGTTGTAGGCTGACTTTCTCTCTGAATATACCGAGGTGATACACGGATGCAGATCTATGAACCCGAAGTCAGAGACAACAAATCCAAAGGTACATGGAAGATAAGGGTTTCATGAACGTACGGGAACAGGTTCAGCAACGCGTCGGTCATGCCGATACCTGCTCGCAGGATGGGTGTAAAACCAATCCTGGGCTTTATCTTGCTGCCAACGAACTTTGCGATGGGTGTCTCCTAGTTCAGGCGAATGAAGTCGGTGTGTGTCGAGGTTATCGGGCCTCAGATAACGGAGGGGAAGATGCTAACCCCATGGAAGGTCTCCTCCTCGAGATCACGGCTGGCTTCAATGCCCAGCATCAGACTGACATCGTGGATACCCTACGATATCGCGTACTCTGTTAGATTCATGTATTGTGAGGCCGATACAGGGCCGTACCTCTCTAAACTCCTTTGGCGTCGTAGACGTCTGCCTGAGCTTGCTGAGGCGCGCATTGACGAGGGGGTGAGAGAGGACGTGCACGTTGTCCGTCATGGGAACAAGATCAGTCGAGAGCGTACACGGGTCTGAAATAGCGGACAAGCTGAGCGTTTATCGTGGACGAGCTTCGGCGTTCCGCCGTATCGTAATGAAGAGTACCGCCGGCCCGGATCTCCGATCTGCTGCCCATCGTTCTAAGTTTGCACTGACTCAGACCCGCCAGACCTATAATTTTCGCCAAGTCGTCATGGACGCTGCGTCGAGCTGCCCCTCTCATTCCATTCTTCACCGTCGCTGTCTTGCACGATGTCAAAGCCCATTAAAACCTGCGTGATCGGCGTCGGCCTCGGCGGCCTCGTCTTCCACGTCCCTTTCGTCCTTATCCTCCCTCAGTATTTCACTCTCCATGCAGTCATGGAACGGAACCCTGCTGCTCCCAATCGCGGGAAGGCCCATGAACGATTCGATGGGAAGGGGAGTATCAATATGAGCAACGTCAAAATCCACAGGTCGCTCGACGCTGTGCTCGGAGATCCCGAGGTGGAATTGGTAGTGGTCACCACGCCCAGTGAGACGCACTACAGTCTGGCTAAAGCAGCGTTGGAGGCCGGGAAACATGGTGAGCTTCTAATTTTCAACCGTTTTTTGTAATATATTCCAACGGAGACGTGCAGTGCTCGTTGACAAGCCTGTCACGGCCACCGCCGCGCAGGCGAAGGAATTGGGGGCCTTGGCCAAATCCAAGGGTGTCGTCCTGTATCCCTTCCAGAACAGAAGATGGGACTCCGATTTCCTCGCCTTGCGCCGCCTGCTCGCGTTACCTAGCTCTTCTCCTCAGTCCCTCGGAAACATCCACGATTTCGAGTCTCAGTAAGTCAGCTGTCCACGCCAGAGCATGGATCCGTCATTTATTGCCAACCTTGCAAGCTATGACCGCTATCGTGACACTCTGAAGGGCACTTGGAAAGACGAGCCGAAGCCGGCAAACGGTCAGACGTACGACCTCGGTGCACACCTCATCGACCAGGCCCTCGTCCTCTTCGGGCGGCCCGAGAAGGTCACCGCGTTCATCTCGAACATGAGAGGCATCGGGCATCCCGACGTCGATGACAACGTACGCGCAATATCACTAAGGTCAGCATTCTACCTCCCACTCACCTGCTGCCCGCATACAGTTTACTATCATCTTCCACTATCCTCCTCCTTCCGGCTCTCAGCACCCTCTCACCGTCATCCTGCGCGCATCCATCCTCTCCGCCCGCTCGCCACAGCTGCGCTTCGTCGTCCGCGGCACCAAGGGCACCTTCGTCAAGTACGGCTTGGACGTGCAGGAGGACCAGATCAAGGAGATGGCCAACCCCGAAGGGATCCTCACAGATGCTGGGTATGGCAAGGAACCCAAGGACATCTGGGGCACTGTGCAGAACCTGAAGGGCGAGCAGGTCGTCACATCTACGTGAGTGCACATTCATGTCGGGAAATCCGAAGGGAGATGCTGATTGGGATTAATCACCAATGAAGATGGCCCACGGAAGAGGCAGGGTGCTATGTTGAGCTCTGGAAGAATCTCGCGGAAGTGATCAGGAATGGGAAGGAGCAAGCGGTCAAATGGGAAGAGTCCGCGGCTGTGATTGAAATCATTGAGCTTGCCTACCTGAGCTCGAAGGAGGGTAAGACAATTGTTGTCCCGAAAGCATGAGAAGCTGGAACTACGAGAAGTCAACATAGCTTGGATAAGAATGTACTTGTATGCAGCTGACGTTGAATACTCAGATCCATCTTGCACATAACGCGTGGAGATCCCATCTCAGGATTCCTCGGGAGCTCAGATACCAGCCTGCCATTCATGCTGAAAAAGCGCTGTGAGGTAATATCATACAACGGAACTGGCCTCTACGAACGCGACATATGATCGTTCCAATACAACATTGACAAGATAATACAGTATCGCCAACCGTCCATCCAATAATCATGCAATCACTCATCCACCCACTCGTTCCTCCTCACCCGCTCAATATACTCCCGCACCCAGAGCGGCCTCCGGCGATGCTGCGCGATAAGATCCTCCCTCGCCCGCTGCCGTCTCTGCCTCTCCTCCCGCTGCGTATCGTCCTCCTCGCCCTCCGCAGACGCAGGGTTATCCTCCCGCGCGTTGGCCTCCGTCCTGACTCGCCCTTCCCGCTGCCGCAGCCGCGCCCTGCGCCGGTTCCACAGCTCGGGATGCAGCGTCATGACCAGCAGCCCCATAAAAGTGGTCAGCTTGTGGCCCAAGCTCGGCGGGCGGACCTGCGTGCCCGGCGCAGCGGTGAGAGCGCGCTCCTCGTCGTCCAGGTTCATCCGCGCCGCCATGTCCATAATAATGTCAGTGTGGCTCCTGGACCTCGCATTTCCCTGCGTCCGCGGGCGACCGCCCATCTGAGCGGGCATCGCGTGCATTGGATTGGGTGCAGGGCCGAGAGGTGCGTTGCCGTCTGCTCCTGCTCCCGGGGCGGGCGCTGCCTGAGCTTGCCCGTTGGCTCCATCGGCGTTCCCAGCCCTATTGCCATCATACCCCATGGCAATCCGCACGGCGCCCCAAAGCTCGTAGACTACCCAGGCAGCGATGATAAACCCGATGAAGGGCTTGCGCGCTGGAGAGATGAAGTAAAGAAGCAACAATGTGCGGATCGCGAGCATCATCAGCGGTGCGAGGAGAGCACGGAGGGGGATGTCTCGCATCTCCGCCATGAAGGCGGGACCCCCGGCGTTGTTCCCCGCGATCTGAGGTAAACCGAGTCGTTGGAGATGCTGATTGATGTCTGCTGGAGCGCCCCGGAGCGCGTAAGCTTGCACACTGGTGTACGGTCCCAAAGCCGAGGGATATGCGGGCGGTGTGAGGATAATCGTAAAGGTATAGGAGAGCACTTTAAGGCAATGGATCTGAAGAGGGGTAGGAGTGGCATTGGGGTTGGTTAGGGAGAGGAATCGTTGGCCGCTTCGATACAGGAACAGACGTCAGGAGCCGTCGCTATGTTCAGACGTAACGAAACGCACTTATTATTGATAAACTCGTAATGCAGTCCAGATTCCTCATCTCCCGGCGGGGGGAACTCTTCATCCAGGATTGAAGGCCAGGCCCATCCGAAACTCTCGACAAGTGACATGGAGCTCCGTCGTGCGGCAGCCATATTCGGCACCGTCGGGAGCGGGTACGGGCGCCTCATAAGGAAGCCTAGCGCGGCGGCATGCTTGTGCCAAACGTAAAGTAAGGCGCTCTGATGGGGCATGCCGACAACTGGCTGCGCATTGTTTACTGGAGGGGGAGACTGCAAGTGCGGTATGAAAGGGGGGATGGGGTAGCTTGTAATGTTCGGGGTCGTGCCAGACGTCGACTGCTGGCTCGAGCTCGGGGAGCGGGCGGGGTTCTCGGGAGGAGGAGAGGACCATGCCGAATAATGGACTGCGAGGTGAATGACTCTGGATTCATCGGGTGTCTAGATGGCGGTCAGTACCCAGCAAGCGCGGTTATACGGAATCCACCGACCTTCCAGATGTTCTCTACCCGCTCTTCGTCGCGCAAGACCCGGCCTCTCCATATGATCTTCTGACCTTCGACCCGTGGAGCACCGGTGCAAGTCCTGTTGATTTCACGCTTGATATCGAGCACCGTTGATTGAGTGGGGACTTGAATATGAAACGATAAGGAGTGTGATGGCAGCTCGACCTTGAGCGAGACCCAAGACATGGCAGACGATGGTAAGCGAGGTGTACGCTGGTAAGGAGGCAGTCTAGGATCCCTTTGTAACTCCGTCACTACGTGGCTCAACGATCACGTGGGACCTTTTGCCCGTATCTGGTAATGCCCCGCAGCCGATCTATGGCTTCCACTGCCACCGGAATACACCGAAATTACGGCAGCAGTCGCGTCCCGCCATAAATCAAGTCCGACTTACAACTCGGGCAGACCAGCATCTACGACTCAAGCATACCGTATGTAGTTCTTAGAACGGATCATAGCACAACATGCCGCAAGGTCAGGTCGACTTTGCCAGCGAAACAACCTTCTCTAGCATAGGCTTTATTTGACCATGAAGGTTATCTATCAGGGTACATCGACGGTCCTCCCTTCCCTTTGGCTAAGGTAAGCCAGCTCGATCATTTCGACGACAGCTGTGGCCTCGGTCCATTTCACGACGAGTTCTTTCCCATTCCTGATTGCGTCCCAGACGTTTGAGTAGAGATCGGCATAGGTTCCCTTCTGATCTGCCTGCCATCTGTGTGATAGGATATCGCGTCAGGGCGAGCATGTATTACGCCGAGCTAGTATCATCCACTTGCCTTGAGGTCACAATGCTGCCATTGCTATCAAGGTTCTGTAACGTGCCTGCCAATTCCGATTTCTCCATGCCATACGCCTCGTCCCGAACAATCTGCCCCGTATCTGACATGGACCTTAGATATTCTTCTTGGCCGTCCGCACCATATTTGGTGTAGGTGCCCTTCGTCCCGCGCACCACGTATCGCAGTTGAGGCGAACCGACAGAAAGGATATGTGAGCGTAGAATGACAGTTATGGGGCAAGGCCGGTCAGGTGTAAGAGGTGAGTAGTGGAAATAAATGGTGAACTAGCGGCATTCATTAAGCCAACCACCTTCCCATCGGAGTTATGGACGTACACAGTCATCCACCTCAGGGTCTCCTATGCCGCGGATATTCTGGATGAAAGCTGTGATCTTGTCTGGTCTCCCAAAAAGCTGTAGAGCCTGGTCGATTAGGTGCGACCCAAGGTCGTACGTGAGACCGGTGCCTGCGGCGGCGTGATCCTTCCAAGTGCCCTTGAGGACCGCCCGATATCGATCGGCTCTACCTCGCCGGGGATTATAGGTACTCAGTGATTTTAGTCGACGTCACCAAGATGCTCGTACCGGGATTCAAACTCGTAGATGTCTCCGAGCGAGTGAGGTGAGCTCCGAGGAAGCGCTAGCAGCTTCTTCAAAGCGAGCCAGTCGGCTTCATACCGCTTGTTCTGGTAGGCCGCGAGCACGAGATTTCTCGACTTCGCAAGCTCTCCCAGCTCGCGCGCCTCCTGCGCCGTCGCCGTTACTGGTTTATCTACCAGCACTGACGAAATAATAATCAGAGGCGATCGGTACAACCCGACCGTCGATCAGAGGACAAACCATGCTTTCCTGCCTCTAATGCACTCCGCGCTAACGCATAATGCGTCCCGTTGGGAGTGGTCACCACAACCAGCTCGATCTCCGGATCGGCGACGACCTGTTCCATGCTCGTGTAGATCTTCGCCCCACTCATGTGTGCGCCGTAGCGCGCGTGGGCCTTGCCCTCGCCGGAGCGCTCAAGCACTGCGTGCAAGGAGAAGAGGTGAGGCTGCGCGAGGATGAAGGGGATGTGGAAGACTAGTCCACCGAGGCCGACGCCCAAGACGCAGGTTCTGATCGGGTTCGGTGCGGATATGTCGTTGTCCGACATGATGAATGCTATGGAGGAACGTAGGCAATGATCCCAGAGTGTCACGTCTCTGTGGGATGCTCCCTGCTATTCTAACCGTTCCAACTTGGACTGTGAGAGCCCGCTCTTGTTAGAATATCATAAGAATAGACACCTCGATATTAAGTGGAAGGCTGCGGGCAGCAGGAGTCATGCACTTCAGATAATCTGACTTGGACCACAGGGTCCACTGGCGCTCACGGAAGGCATACAGGGCTGCAGAGGCACAGAGTCACTCAGAACTCTGACAAGTCCTGCTGCGTAGCACCCGGCTATGTTCTACAAGCATTCTTTGGTGACAGACCTTGAAACTCAGTTGCGACGCGTGGATGGAACTTTAGGCATGAAGGACAGAAGGCGCCGACAGTTTGTTCTTTCAATATGGCGATGAAGTATCCTAACTTCGGCAGGTACGACAGTGGCACATAAAGTATCAGCAATAGTTAGGTCCTCTTAGGACTCTATTGTCCGAGGTTCCAAAGATGGGACAGAGCACAATGAGGTATCTGGCAGTCCAGACTCCCCCTTTACACAATGAGCCTGCACGAGTCAAGCACAGCAGCCAAACAAAGACGGCCAGAAGTCGGAGCCACGAGTTGCGTTGTATTCGCGAAGGCGTACAGCAAGGAGAGCACGGAGATGATCATTCGCAGCGCTGATCGCCTCTGTGAGCCAGCGGACAATAGCCAGACAGACGGATGGGCTGTGTTTGACAACATAGACGCTGTGTTTTATATGATACCGTGACGAACTGCAAGTGTCAGCATAGGTCTTGCGAGAGCGCCTGCACAGGAGCTCGAGCACCGGAGGAGCAACGCAGTGGGGAGACGCAACGCCTGCCAACGGCGCGAGTCGCTTAGTAAGCAGATTGTGGCTGAAGACTGGCACAAGTGCGCCTTGACCCAACTCGCCGTGTAATGACATCGGAGAGTGATTAGAATTTCTTGTAGGATGATATAATGGTTTTTTGGGATACAGAGGATGTGTAATGGCATCTTTTCCCTTATACATAAGGATGTACATCATAGCTTTCCTATTCCCTCAATTCCCATGCTCAACCACCCATTGATTGTGCTTGCAATGCTCAACAGATTACCTTGTGAGATCCCATATACATCATGAAAGGTGTATAATTATTTTATTCAGCTGACTTGAGGCAGACTTAACCAATTAGCATGTATGACTCGGGATGGTACACTTCTTGATATGGCTGTAGGCAGAGATATTATGCTTCAGTACACCCAAATATCTGCAAGGGAAGGGAACCATATCAATAATGCTATATCCGAAGTCTGAGAGAAGCTGTGCAGTCTTTAGTGCATTGGAGAGCGGAAAGGCGACCTCCAGTGTGACACCAGAACGCGGTTGTCACACACGTCACACAGCCAGACGCGCTGATTTCAGGCGCGTTGTGACTCAAATGCGCCACGCGCATGCAGCTTCCTAGAGTCATTTTTGGCTCTTGCGACATTAGTACCAAATGTTCTGAAGACATATCTGGATGTATCGGAAAACCCGGATTCTTCGAAAATGCATCGTATCTTCAAACACTAGTCAAACAGATCTCTTTTTCACCCTATATGGAGGGAAAGAGGCAAAGTACCGGAAATCCAACATTTCCGATACATTTTAATCATCCTTCTGAGCATTTCTCTCAGCTATATCTTAGCCTGATTCTCGCAGTGTGAAGTGATCTACGTGTTCTCATTTTCGTGACACTCGCTATTAGGGAACAAACAAAGCCAAATAACTCGCCGCGCGACCCAGGATTGCGTCTCCCCACTTTGTTCCCGAAGTGACTTCCGTGCCATTCGCATGTCCTCCGCTCTACTTCAACTCTTCCCTCTCTCCTTCTCCCTCTTCCCCACCATACGCGTCTTCCATGTCGACATCCACGTTTGACGCACTCATCGCCGACCTCACGCGCGACGCGCACCGCGCCCAGCCCAGGGACGCCCTGCAGTTCTGCGCTAATTGGTTTCAGTCTCGTCTAGAAGAACAACGCGCCCTCTCTCGCGATATCCTCGCGCAACGACGCTCCTTTTCCTATGATTTGCCGCAGGAACACTACCAAGACATCCCCATATCGTCCAGCGGAAGCGGCAGCGCTTTCGCGTCCGCCACCACCCCTCCTTACGAATCCTCCATACCGCCCCGTGCCCCCGTACGCCAGAGCATAGCGCCCGGTCCATTTGGTACTCTAGATGTGCCGGGAAACGCGCTACTGCCTGATACTACGCCTCGAAACAATGCCGGTGGCATGCTGCCACCCGTCCCTCCCGTCTTCAGAGTGAATGGACAAGACCTGTCACCCGTGTCTCCCCTCACTGTTACTGGGCGCTACAGCATTCATGAGAGCATGTTCACACCCCCGCCCGCCGAGACGAACGCAAACGCAGAAGATTACCTCCAACCATTCAGTTCCACGATCTTGGCCCGCAGGACGTCCGTCAGTGCCGAGTCTATCCCGGTAGATAGCGACTCCAACGAGCCTCTCCCCGTGTTCCCCAAGACGCCGGAGCAACTGCGACGCATAAAAGCGTCTATCGCAAACAACTTCATTTTCCGAGACCTGGACGAAGAGCAGGAGACCGGCGTCTTGAACGCTATGCAGGAGATGCAAGTGCCGAAGGACGAGGTGGTCATACGGCAAGGGGATGTGGGGGAGTACTTCTACGTCGTGGAGTCGGGTTTGTTCTATTGTTACATCCGCGAGGATGAGAACAAGCCGTCCTGGTACACGGCGCCCCAAGGGTCCAGGCAGGCGCCTATTCCCAACAAGCCCGGCTACCACCCCGAGTTCGGGAAGAAGGTGTCGGAATGCAAGCCTGGAAGTTCGTTTGGTGAACTAGCGCTTATGTATGGGCATCCGCGCGCTGCGACGGTGCAAGCCATCGAGCCGTCCGTGCTGTGGTCCCTGGACCGAATCACCTTCCGCACTATTATTCTCAAGGCGGCGCACAGGAGGCGGACAATGTACGAGCAATTCCTGTCCACCGTGCCACTCCTCTCGTCGCTTTCGGCAGAGGAGCGCAGCAAAATCGCGGACGCGCTCGTTAGCCGCGTATATCAGGACGGCGAAGCAGTGGTCAGGCAGGGAGAGATGGGCGACACGTTCTTCTTCATCGAGGACGGTGAGGCAACCGTGACAAAGACACAGCAGGGCGAGGACGGACAAATGAACGAAATCACGGTGGGCCGCCTGACGAAGGGCGACTACTTTGGAGGTGGGCTGCCGGTCGTGCTCTGTCGGGTATCGTGCTGATTGAGTTTTCAGAGTTGTCGCTGTTGCGCATGGCACCGCGTGCAGCGACGGTTAGCGCGATCTTCCGCGCGAACCCGACGATGCCGAAGTTGAAGGTGGCGGCCTTGGACGCCAATGCGTTTACTCGCTTGCTCGGGCCGCTGCGCGAGATCATGGAACGCAACGCCGGGGAGGCGTACGGACTCCCCCCATACAGATTCCCGTCGAGTCCCTGAGTTTGTATTACTGCCAGTGCTGTATTGTGTAGCTCTCCTGTTTTCTGCTTGTCGTCTGCAAAGTACTTTACAATATTATCGCGTATGTTATATTGCACGTGAACGCGGGCTCTCCACCGGGCTCCAAGCGCAGAGGGCGGCTGTCCGCGTTTGGTGATGTCGCGATGCCAACAGCCACAGAGAAGCATCGCGACAGGCAGCTCAACGTGGAGTGGACGATGATGCGGACAGGCATTGCTTTATATTTCCGCCCTATTTGTGTCTAACGTAAATCTCTCTTTTTGCATGCTCTTCTGTCGGCTCGGAGGTGGCATCCCGCACTATCCTTTTGTCCTCGTTCCCCATTCATCCGCCTCCAACCACCCGGCTATCCTGTCTTGAGGCGGCCTCAAATCCCCCGCCGCTACCAAGCACGACCGCTTTATCCACCCGATAGAGTCCACGAAATCACCACCAACCCTTACGCTCCTTAATTTTCTTGCTTTCTCTGTTCTCAACATGGACGGTGTCGTTCACGAAGAGAACTTCGCCAAGAGGCAGGGCCTCGGCGGATGTGAGTCTTTCTACCATCTACCCAACTTGCCAGGGCTCATATCTGCATCCAGTCTTGTCTGGCATCTTTGGGTGAGTGGACATACCGGCCTTCCATTTCTTTCGCGTCTCATTTGCCCTTTCTTCTTCTTCTGTATATATTTCTGTTTCGACGTAGTGGTGGCGGCAATGGGCAAAGTGCGAGCACGAGCTCCAATACAGACCCGCTCGGCTTGGGTGGTCTTACCAGCGGCTTACTACCTACCCAATCTTCACCCTTGTCTCTGTCCTTACCCGGTTTGACGCACAGCTCGACGAGTACTACGTCGACGTCTGCCACGTCAAGATCCGCCATCTCCCTGACCTCGTCCAGCACAACTTCCTCCTCGTGAGTACCGTCGTTAGGGTAGTCGCACGCCCGGTGAGCTGATCGGATCTAGTACTTCTTCGTCCAGTTCCACGACGAGTTCTTCATCCCCGTCCACTACGCCTCCCCCTACCTCCAGCACCTCTGCATCTGAGTCGTCTACTTCCGTCGTCACGAGTACTTCCGATGGCAACCCCGTCGTATATACTACGATAATCGCCGTCCCGGCGTCTGCCACCACGAGCGAGAGCTCGACTGGTGCAGCAGTCGCTCCCAAGTCGTTCTTCCAGAACAAGCCGCTTGAGGGTGGTGTCTTCGCCATCGTTGGCGTTATCGGCTTGGTTATCGTCGTGGCCATCGCAACCTTCGCCATCCGTAGGAAGGCGAAGGACCGGTTGCACGAGGAAGCGCTGACTTGGCCGGACGAAGGTACCGGTGCTGCCTCCAGAGATGTGGAGAAGGGAGGCGGTGGCCTTGGCTACGCGGGTTCCTTGAAGGGGCGTAGGATGAGCGATTCCAGTACTGCACACGGCGTCGGTAACGACGGCTCGAGCAGCGGCCACGGCACCGTCCCTATGCCACCCGGCATCGGCGGGTACATGCCTGGCGGCTACGGCGCAGCACCTGTGCTGCCCCCTGCCGGCTACCCGCAGCAGCAGATGGGGTACGACTACAACGCTGGTCAAGGGTACGGACGTAACTTGGTCAGCCCGCCCACTGTCAACCCCCAATACCAGAACGCCTATGGTGCTCCTGTACTCCCGAATCCGATCTACGACCCTGTGCGCTCGCCTGTGTACCCGGCCAATCCGACTATGCCCCAGTTTAACGTGACGTCGCCTCCTCCTATGGGCGCTACGGCAGTCCCGAAGGCTCTGCCTCCTCTCGAGACTGAGCGAGCGAACTTGCCGTACGCAGACCGCTCTAGTCCCACTGCTGCCAACCGGAGGAGCGCGAGCTTGTTAAGCCCGGTCTCTGCCAGCGAGCATGACCCGTATGACGGAGTTGCGAGCGACGGATCTGCCAAGGTCAGGAAGCGCGCTAGCTCGCATTCGAGGGAGTTGGATCCCGCTATGCCTGCCATGCCGGCTACACCGGCGTTGCCTGACAGTTTCGGCGACGACAACCTTGGTGCAGTAGGCAGTGTCCAGGAGTACGACGACAAGCGGGTACTGAAGGTCGGTTTCATCGTCCTATTAAACATCAACGTGTCGTCTGATCTAATACCTTCGTTTCAGGTCGCAAACCAGTACTAACCGCTGCCGCTCATCACCACTGATATTCGACTGACCGCGCGCACATTACCCATGTATCAATGATACCCTGCCGCACCCCCGGAGCCTGGAGCCCTTCAACTCAATGTCAATCAATCTATTGCAACGCTATACATTCAATGTTTCTATAGTTCACCCCACAGACTGTTGCACTTGCTTTACCTTCACCACCTTCCCTCCTATCCGTACCCCCACTTCCCTTAATTCCGTACCATTGCTCACTTACGTTATGATTCACCGTTGTGTAAGATGTCGCAGTCCGTTGCTTTCGCCTGAACTGCTGTGCAATCAGAAGTAAGTATAGTGACCGTTTCTCAAAGTCAAATAAATGTATCAATAGTTGTTCTGGATGGATTGCTTTGCTTTTTTATTTTCCGCCTTTTCAGTACCTACCGCGCTCTCTAATATACATCTGATGCTCGTATCGATGGGGATGACATCGGGAGTGAGTGATGATCAAGGACAATGCAGATATTTTATCCACCAAGACTATACACCGTGTACATCGTACATTGTGATAGATTCAATGATCAATTCTATCCTTGCCTCCTTCGTTATACTGCAACCGCCCTCTGCCCCACTGAAGTTGGGTGTACTTCCACGCTAGCACTCCGGGGCTTCTCATTCTCATCCTCCGCTTCCTTGATATCGAGGGAGGCCGCATCGTTCTTGATCTCACACGTGCGTTTAATACGGTGCTCCCGTCGCTCGAGATACCACACCAACCAGGTGACGGCGAGCGTAGCCACGCCCGTGCAAATCATTGCAATCATTCCCTTGCGGAATCTCGGTGCGTCCGTGGCAGGGTAGAAGAGCAGAGGCCACCAGGCGTTAATCACGTTGTTCCACATACTGTGTGAACCGGATAAGGTCCAGACGGGGTAAGAGGGGAACAAGGCATGTCAGCGGGATGCCATAACTACGCGACGGAAACGTACTTCATGGAAGCTAGGACAACAGCTCGCTCTAGAGACAATGGTCAGATCTCATACATAGTAATATAATCAACGGGCGCTACCTTGATCATCGTCCGCACATATTTGGTTAGCCCAGCTGAACAGATAGAAGGTAGTCAGTCGCATTTGTCTACCGGGTAAGGACAACCCATCTTACGCAAATGTTGTAGCCTGGCCCGCATAGGACGCGCCAGCGACATCTGTCCACAAGAGACAGGTCAGAAGATGATCAACGTCGCGGGCCTTAGATACGCACAATACGCGAGGAATTTGAGCCAAGTCGGGCTGGACCACACCAATATACAGATAGCAGAGAAAATGACTGCTACAGACATGTACACCAGTACTGGCCATCTAGCGCGCGTGTAGTCCGTCCAGGTCGCACAGACCAGCGTCGAGACTATGGCAAACGCTGTCATACCCGATGGGTAATAATCTGGAGTCGTTGCCTGTGAGCAAGGTCCACGAGACCAGTCAAAATTGCCTACCGGTCTGCTCCACGGTATAACCGCCGATGGCCTTCAGCCATTGACCCATCAGGTTATTGGAACCCAAACTCTCAGTTTCTCCGGATATCGCGAACTGACGAAGCCAGTATTTCAGGGACTATCGTCCGAGAGTCGGCACTGCATATAGCTGAATATTACTTACGAGTAGGCTGCATGCATACCACCTCCATCGGCCTAGCACTCTCCGCATCAAATTCCATGATAGGCCATGGCGGTCAACATCCTGCGCTGGCTCGAGGCGATCATGCGACAATAGACGTTCCTATTCTCCAGTAACACGATCAGTGCTTGCGAGGTATGCACGGGAAGCCACACGCACCTCTTCCGAGAGGTAGAACGCCCTTGTAGTGGCAGGCACATCGGGAAAGACTAGGAATCCGTACAGAGCGATAGGTAAGGTAATGATACCGTCAATGATGAAACTGCAGTGAGGTAGTAAATATAAGCGGACGACAGTAAGGTAAAATGACATACAGCCATCGCCAGCCACTTCGACCCTGAGCACCGTTCAGATTCCTGACGCGATAATTGTCAACAACCAGAGATAATCTGTCCTTCATTAAACTTACTGGTAGACTGCACCTTGCAGGATGCCGGAAAATCTGTGCGTTGAGTCAGCGGGAAATTGTACAATGCAATGGCCAGGTACCTCACAGAGTCCCAGCCAATCCAGAGCTCGTAAATATTCCCGAGCGCTTCCCAAGCTCGCTTGGTTTATACCAACTAGACCTTGCGTCAAAATCGCATCACAGGTAAGCCTAGGTAAGTTACTCACGATCCAAGAATATAATGTGTGCCGACGAATGTGGACGCCTCAGACACGCCTTGGAAAAATCGAATAGCATAAATCTAGCACGGCTCGGATTAACGAGACATCCAAGACGCAGGGGACACGTTAGTCTCGACGAGACCCTCTCATTCGCTAGAGAGTTTCTCCGAGACTAAGGCAACCTGATACTTACTTGTTGCACATTATGTACAGCACTTGTACTGGCAAGGAATAGGTATTCGAGTCGGACGGGCAGAATACTATAAGAAAGAGACCGCACTCACCAGAATGTCAGAACGCCCCATACGATCTGCATCAAGGGGAACCATATCCTCGGCGGTACCACTTGAAGCATCAGATTATCTGGACCACGTATATCATTGAGACGATTTCGATAATATGACGATACAGTTCACGAACTTGGTATCATCCCAACAATGTAACCACAAGTGAAGATAGTGTTGATTTTCTGGGCATGATACGTGACTCCCGTTCAATTCTGCTCGGTCGCACAGAAGGTTCCAAATACGTACGTTATAGTCAGTTCCCTGCATATTCAACTCCTCTTTCATACCAGAAACATAAGCATTTGACACATTCGATCTATCTAGGTCTACACAGACGCATGAGTCACTCGCGATACTGGGGGTAGAATTAAGAAGAGAGGTGGAGATGGCAACCAGCTCTGAACCACATAAGACGGTCCAACAAGAGGCTGACCCTAGAATTTGCACATACAGGGACTCCACGAAATCCTCCTGATACTCACAGTTCGTAAAGTACTGTGCTAATTCATCAGCCTTGTTCTCTGACCTGATACGGACACCACGCACCATAAGGCAGCAATAAGACAATATGAACCAGTCTATTTTCAACAACAACTTCCTCTCTTCCTTCGAAGCGGGGATCTCCCCCCATATGAACCGTCTCGCTCTATTCCAGGTGCTGCTCATCGCGTTCCGGCAGGATGGAGAAGCAAGTGATAAGCCTCAGAGCCTCTCAGTAATGAAGTCCGTCGGTCGGTTTGGAGCACGAAGCGCCTGTTAAAGCCAGGATGGCAGGAGGAAGAAACAAAGGATTGTCAGCGCCCGACCAGCGATAACATACGGTTTTGAGCCCGCGCTTGGAGCGGTGAGGGAGTCATGGGCAGATTCCATGATTGGAAGCTGTCCGATCTAGGCTGCATCTAGTCGCGCGGCATTTGGCGTGGTGCGCATATTCCGATCACGTGACCTCATTAGTGTTATGGAATCGTCAGATTAACCGCGTTCCCCAGCGCGTCTACGGTTGACCAGGAGTGTCAGGTCTATTTTGCATTTGCACTTCGCACTTGCGTTTGGCTGAGGGCACGCCGTGAGTTCGAATCCCCCTGAGAGCAACGGGCAACGGGCCGTGGAACGTCCCGGATACTGCCGTACCCCTGTTGTCGCTGTGCTCGACGTTGCCCGACGCGTTGTCGACGCTGTTGTCGGCGATATCGACGAATGTTAAGCGATGAATATTCCTAAAAATACACGGAAAAAATCGGTTCCTTCTGAGCTTATTGTACCAACCCATTTAACATCAATTATTCTGTTCATTTGAGGAGCTATGCGAGAAGTCGTTGCACAATCAACATTGCGAGTCAAGAGGTGCATTCAATATTAAGACAAACTCTACAATTGAGATAGGGAGCATTGACGTGCGCGCCAATGTCAATGAAACTAATCCACATCCGACGCCGTTGCGCATTCCCCCTATACTGCTAGTAACGCGTCGTGGCGAATTGCAAGGGAGCAAACACACGCATGTTTGACGGTCCCGACCTGCTACCGCATTAGGTAGTCGGCAAGTGTGGGAAGGAAATTGTGGCGTCTGCCACACACCCTTGGCCAGCCTTGCGGGCTTCAGCAACATGTGTGCTCTGTTAGCTGCAAATGCTGCATGGGCAGTAGATGAGTACAAATAGCGGCAGAATAAATGCGGTGGTGTGGTATCTGTGACGCAACCCACAATGAACTTCAACAAGACAAATCTAATATGGCCACACTATCCAGCACACTCTTCGAGGGCAAACTTTCACACAACACCTAAACATGTCTAGACATTTACACTTGATTTACACCCTAATAGTTGCAAATTTATGCCTGTTCAGAAGGATTGCAATTTCTTCAGTATTTGTTTGGGAGTTTCAGCGCAACCTTCGTCGACGTCGCCGACAACAGCGTCGACAACGCGTCGGGCAACGTCGAGCACAGCGACAACAGGGGTACGGCAGTATCCGGGACGTTCCCACGGCCCGTTGCCCGTTGCTCTCAGCGGGATTCGAACTCACGGCGTGCCCTCAGCCAAACGCAAGTGCGAAGTGCAAATGCAAAATAGACCTGACACTCCTGGTCAACCGTAGCGTCGCGACCCTCTAGAAGAATTAATGAGCTTCAGGTACATAGTTTGAAGTGACACCAAAGTTGTGCTCAATTAATGTCTGTTTTGGGTGCCGTATCGACCGATAAAGCCTATTCTGTACCATGATAGGCCCCAGCGCATATTGGGCTGGTAGAAGTAATGAGTAGCAATACATATATGTTTTAAGCCATATTGAGGTATGCTGCCGAGCGTGGTGTCTTTAAAATGAGCTCTGAAGAGTAGAGCTTCAACATGTTCCCCTTTTGGGACGGCCGGAGCTGCTGATGTCAGCAGCATGCACCGAACGAAGTTAATGCTCCTACAGCGGAAAGAGAGCGCCAAAAAATCTGAGACTACTCAGGTTGCATCAGGACCAGCAGGTACTCCTGCCATATCATATATTTTTCCCTCGCTACATGGAGATGGCATGGGTACGAAACGGTGAGTCTGTCGAGGTGGCCGTGGAAATAGTCACGTGATATTGAATATGCGTACCCCTACTAAGGGGGCGCGATCCGCGGCAGACCGTTATATGCCGACTGCCCTCCACCTGCCTTATAAGGGAGGCATTTAATCGGTCGCCTTTGGGAGACTATGTCCGATCGGCATGCACGTGAATGCTTCTACCGTATTGGGAAAGGTTGCAGCTATTTATGGTACTCATCGGTGGCGGTGGCAGAATGAGACACTTCGGACAGTGTGAAGCTGCGACTGGCAATTCCATCGAGAACGGATACGGAGAAACTCAAGCAGGCAGTTATAGCTAAGGACATCAAGAAGAGATACAGTGTATACGTCGCGGGACTACGCTATATGTAGCCCACTCCGCAGCGGACGCACCTGATAAATGTCCGATATCTTCGTGTTGTCTTCGTGGTATGCACATACTGGTCAGTAAGTGCGCGCAGTCGACGAGCCTGCAGCTGCGGACCTAGTATCACGTCCCAGCTACCGTCTGTTGCCCGACTGCATATATCCCATGACAAGTGGGTCTGCGCTGGAGATCCATATTTTATACTACTAGGAAGTCCGATCTGATCCTGAAACAAGCAGGTTGTCCTGGGGAGACCAGAGTCTTGGGAGCCAACAGCTTAATTTCATATTTCGTACATGGAAATAGAAGTTACCGCTGTCCTGCAAGGAATCGTCTATAAGACCCGGAATCCCGGCCTTCGAAGCCCCACGATCCACTGTTACCCAGGACGCTGGGATGGGCTCACATTTTACTGGGGAGACGCAATCCTGGGTCGCGCGGCGAGTTATTTGGCTTTGTTTGTTCCCTAATAGCGAGTGTCACGAAAATGAGAACACGTAGATCACTTCACACTGCGAGAATCAGGCTAAGATATAGCTGAGAGAAATGCTCAGAAGGATGATCCAAATGTATCGGAAATGTTGGATTTCCGGTACTTTGCCTCTTTCCCTCCATATAGGGTGAAAAAGAGATCTGTTTGACTAGTGTTTGAAGATACGATGCATTTTCGAAGAATCCGAGTTTTCCGATACATCCAGATATGTCTTCAGAACATTTGGTACTAATGTTGCAAGAGCCAAAAATGACTCTAGGAAGCTGCATGCGCGTGGCGCATTTGAGTCACAACACGCCTGAAATCAGGAGAACGTCCAGGCGACTGGGAGGTTCGCCCGCCGAACGCGTTCGCGAACGTGTTCGGCGAATGTCTGGGCACGTGAGGGGATGCCATGCCACCTGAGCCTGGGGAATCGCCACACCGCAACTGTTATTGAGCGAGAAAGGCAATGGCGGCTATGCTTTCAATCCATAAAATACAGTTTGTTATGCACATATTATTGTACCATACCAGGGATATTGATGACGTGAATAGAGTAATTTCCATGAATTTCAAGTTGTCCATCACATTTTCAATGCAATGCCAGTAGTATTGACCATGGAAACTGTTAGGGGGAGGGCACGGAAGGGGCTTCAATGGGTTCGTGTGACCCCAATTGGACAGACAGCTTCGATTACTCACCACATTTTTTTTGAAATAACCCAGCAATCTCAATCTCACAGACTGATACAATAAACTTACAAGTTAAAACCATCAGGCTATGCAGATTTTATCATAAGCAGAAGGGGTACGCGTCTGTGGCCGGTGGACAGAGCCACAGAATCGACACGCGCCCACGTGCACCGTGGTGTGGTTCTCACGTTCGCATTTGCAGTTCGCGAACGCGTTCGGCGGTGTGACCTCCCAGTGGGGTCGACTTTCTGGAAATCAGCGCGTCTGGCTGTGTGACGTGTGTGACAACCGCGTTCTGGTGTCACACTGGAGGTCGCCTTTCCGCTCTCCAATGCACTAAAGACTGCACAGCTTCTCTCAGACTTCATATATAGCATTCTTGATATGGTTCCCTTCCCTTGCAGATATTTGGGTGTACTGAAGCATAATATCTCTGCCTACAGCCATAACAAGAAGTGTACCATCCCGAGTCATACATGCTAATTGGTTAAGTCTGCCTCAAGTCAGCTGAATAAAATAATTATACACCTTTCATGATGTATATGGGATCTCACAAGGTAATCTGTTGAGCATTGCAAGCACAATCAATGGGTGGTTGAGCATGGGAATTGAGGGAATAGGAAAGCTATGATGTACATCCTTACGTATAAGGGGAAAAAATGCCATTACACATCCTCTGTATCCCAAAGACCCATTATATCATCCTACAAGAGATTCTAATCACT